TTTAATAACAGGAAAGACAGCTAAAAAAAAAAAAAAAGAAAGAAACAGTAAAAGTCTAGTGATGTTTGAATGCACACTCTTGGTATCTGAGAATTTTAAAAACTTTATGTTACATATCTTTATTTGTGTGTGTGCGCGCTTGTGCACACGCACATATGACATGACACAACTTGTGGGAGTTGGTTGGTTCTCGTCTCCCACTGTGTTAGTCCTGGGGATTTGGACTGAGTCATCGGGCCTGATGGCAAGCACTTTTGCCTGTGAAGCCGTCTCACCAGCCCCAATTTCTGGAAAAGTAAATTCAAGCATCTCTTCCCAAGATTGATTATTGGGCGTTTACAGACACGTGTTAAGAGCCCGATTCCACAGTAGCTCCCTGCCTTGTCTTGGTTACGTGCCCTGCAGCACCCTCTTTGGGTTCTCCTAATGAACTTCATTTCTTGATTGGTACTGTCTCAGTGGGTTTGTAAGATTTCTTTCACCTTTCTTTCCACTTCCTTTCTCTCTTCTTTCTCTTTGGCATGTTTGTTCAGACCTACGCTGGTTCCTTAACCAGTTTCCTCATAGACTCAGCCATGTTGTTCGTCCAGGCGGTGCTTTCGGCCTTCTTCTCCACCCCGCTGAACCCCTTCCTGGGAAGTGCGATATTCATTACTTCATATGTTCGACCTGTGAAATTCTGGGAGAGAGACTATAAGTACGTAAGATAAAACACATGAAAGACAGTTTCTGCCTTTTTTACAGGGAAAAACTATTGACAGCATTATAAGAAATTATACATCATAATTTGGGTTAAAATACTTATTTTTGCTAAAAATTTACAAATAATTTTTGAAGTTTAAAAATTATATCAAAAAAGAGTTAAGGGAAATTAGTTTTTATTTTCTCATCTTCTATTCATGAGATTCTTAAAATTACAATTTAATTAAATACACTCATTTTTGCATTTTTCATTTAATGATACAACTTAGACTTGGTTCCTGTTAATAATAGTGTTATGTCATTACAACAGTTACAGTGAGCTATGTCACAATTTCTCAAAAAATTGCTTCTAGAGCTACATTTTTTTATTTCTTTGCTTAGTTTCTAATACCTATCTTTGTATAAACATTTTCCCATGTAGACATAATTCTTTAGTTCAATCTGATGCTTAAAATGATCTTTGTATAGAATCTCTCCAACTCAGACCCTAAGGGAGAGTTCCTGAAAGAGGAATGGAGCATAAATATTTCATGTGAACCTAGAGTATTTTGCATGTTCCTGGTTGTCCCCAACACTGCCATGCATCAGCTTTCTGGGGTGGGCCGGAGGGATAGTGGCCTTGGCTCTGAAAACAGTGAGCCAGCTTGTAGGCTTCAAGTTTTCCTAACATTATAAATGGTGCTTCCCAGTGTCCTAGTTTGCTTTCTGTTGCTCTGATAAACACCATGACCAAAACCAACTTGGGTAAGAAAGAGTTTATTTCATCTTACTTTTCCAAGTGACAGTCCATTGTTGAGGGAAGTCAGGACAGGAGCTCAGGACAGGATCCTGGAGGCAGGAGCTGAAGCAGAGATCTCAAAGAACAATGCTTACTGGCTTGCTCTTCTGGCCTGTACTCAGCCTGCTCTCTTATAACCCAAGACGACCAGCCTGGGGTGGGGGGTGCTACCATCCACAGTGTGTTGGACTCTCTTATATCACTCAACAGTCAAGAAAATGCCTCATAGACGTGCCCACAGGCCTGTCTTATAAGAGGAAATTCCTCAACTAAGGTTCCCAAGTATATCAAGTTAACAGCTGAAGCTATCCAGCTTTGTTTACTTTCTATTACCAAAGCTAAACATTTTTCAAGTGTTCATTAATTTAACAATAGGAAGACATCCACTGTGCCCAGCATTCCAGAACTCAGGAGACTGAGGCAGGAGAAACACGAGTTTGAAGCTGGATTGAGCTACACAGCAAGATCCTTTTTTTTTTTTTTTTTTTAAGTCTTTTTGAGACAGGGTCTCCCTGTAGCCCCAGCTGTCCTGGAACTCTGTGTGTAGACCAGGCTGGCCTTGAACTCACAGAGATCGCCTGCCTCTGCCTCTTGAGTGCTGGGATTAAAGGTGTGTACCACCATGCCCAGCTAAGACCCTATTTTTAAAAGAATAAAAATGTTATATTCATTGCATATTAATATAAATAACATTTTAGAATGAAGAATGGATTCCCCACATACCAAAAATTTTAGTGGGAAGAGTGGCATTGTTTACAGTTTTACAAACCATTGCATTCTTGCCTTCTAAAGGACAGGTTGGATTTCTTACCTGTTTCTGCATTCAGTCCATTGCAGTATATTGTTTTGCTTGAAGTAACAGAAGATCTGGCCTCAGATATGTAGCTAAAAAAGAGAAGTATTTTAGTTGACTTATGAGACAGTTGTAGATATTTTTCTTTGATCCTTTACAAAAACTCAACAAATACTAGTTTCTTTTTTTTTTTTTTTTTTTTGGTCTTTTTGAGACAGGGTCTCCCTGTAGCCCCAGCTGGCCTGGAACTCACTCTGTAGACGAGGCTAGCCTTGAACTCACAGATCCTCCTGCCTCTGCCTCCCGAGTGCTGGGATTAAAGGCGTGGGCCACCATGCGGGGCTAGAAATGTAAAGTTTTAGCCATAAAAGTATGTGCTACCAAATTGGTCACTATACTCACCTCCCGGAGATTTTCCTGTAGAGGTAAAGTCTAGCTTATCTGGACCTGTGGTCTCTCCCTTGCTCTTACTATTCCTATAGAGGTGAGGTCTAGTGGTCTGGCTTATCTGTATCCTGTAGTTTCTCCCTTGCTGTTACTATTTTTTACATCTAAAGTCACTAAAAATGTTCTATTTTGTCTTCTTCAGCACAAAACGAGTGGACCATTCAAATACCAGATTGGCTTCCCAGCTTGATAGAAATCCAGGTAATAGCTATGTATAAGGAAGCAAGCCAGAGGATTGGATTTGTTCATGTACATCTACGTGCACAGAACACCCACACAAACACCACCACCCCCCCCCATACACACACAGATCTTCACTCCCAACTTACTGGAATCCTCTCCAAATAGGCCTTTTTGTTTTGTTTTTTGAGATAAGATCTCTCTGCATAGCCTAGCCTGGTCTGGAACGTACTATGTACCTCACTGCCTCAGCCTCCTGAGGGCTTGGAGTACAGACACAAATCTTTTTTTTTAAACCAGATATCCTTTGCTTTTTTTTATTTTAGCGAGGTACAATATATGAATGAGAGTGTGTCTGTCAGTCTGACAGTGTGTCACTAATGTGTGCTTTACCTTTCACCAAGTTATAGGTAAATATTAAAATTTGATGTTATTTAATTATGTATATAGATGTCATGGGGTTGCAAATACCCACTCAAGGTAAAGCTCCAGTGGGTAGCATTTTGGTATTATCATTATCTGAAGTTTGGTTCTAAGCTTGGTTATTTTGGAAGCACCATTTTGTCATCCCACTCAGTAATAATCTGATACTTTTCTGTGAGCCTTGCTGCCCCAGACATAGACTAATGAATTATCAGAAGTTCAGGAAACTAATTAACCAAAAGAAGCATTCGTCCCAAATGGACTGGAATGTTTGTTACCATTTGACTCATAAATTCTTGGAAATGCTGTATCAGTCCAAGAAACCAAACTATAGTAATCAAATTGATTCTCAACTATAAAGGGAGAGCTTCTTCCCACAGTAGGGAAAAGTACTGCCTCATCTCTAGCATGTACTTACAAGGGGTTCGAATTCTCGACATGATGACAGTACCATCCTGAGGAACAAATATGTACACTTTTAAATAGACCTAGAAACAGTCATTTTATTGACATATACTCTTTTTTTCCATCTCATTATTTTAATGTTTAGACTGAATTTAAAATAATTCCTGAGCCTTGAGTATCTTGCCATTCCCCAGTACCATGCTTTGACTTCAGCTGTGGAGGGGCTGCTTGCCAAGGTGGCCATCTCATTTACCAAGTGATGCTTAGTACTAATGTTTTCCTTCTGGCAACCAATGTCCAGGCTTGTAGACGTTTGTTACTGTGTCTGTCTCTTCACTTTACTTCTGCTTCATATTAGCCATCTTTTCAGGTTTTGAGTCACTTTTCTTTGTTTTTCTTTTCTTTTTTTTTTTGTTCAAATCTTATGTTATTTATCAACTTCCTTTACCAGATAATCTTTTTGTTCTCCTGAGTTTTGTATCATATATATTTTTAATTAAAATGCATATTTCATTGAATGGTAGTAACAGTCCATGAATTATAAATAACTTAAATGATTAGTGTATGCATCTAATCAAATTTCCACATTCCCAATGGGAACTCTCAGAGGGATAGTATAACTTCTGACTCATTTTTTTAAGATTTAAATTTTATTTTTAATTGCATGTACTTGTAGGGGGTGGGTAATGTACATGAGAATGTAGGTGCTCAGAGAGGCCAGAAGAGGGTAAGACCCCTGATGTGGGTGCTGAACTTGGGTTCTCTACAAGAGCAGCACATGTTCTCAGCCACTGAGCCATCTCTCCAGCCCCTGACTTCTGACTCTTGATTCTGAAGCCATACTTGTTTTCCTTTGTATATTGATGAGGTTTATTTCACTGGAATAAAATACCAGAGAACAGCAACTTAAAAGGAGGACAGATTTATTTTGACTCACGTTTCAGCATCCTTGGTTGCCTGGCTCCTTGCTGTGGGCCTGTGTTGAGGCAGAACCTCATGAGCAGGAGTGTGTAACAGCAGAGCTACTCACCTCAAGGAAGCCAGGAAGCAGAGAGAGAAAGGGACAGGGTCCCAAAGCCCCCATCACTGGCATGCTCCCTGTGGCATGCTTCTTTCAAGGCCCCCCTCCTGTTGCCACCACCTCTCTTGTGTCACCAGCTGAGCACCAATCATCAGTTGGAGCCTGTGGGGGACGCTACGTGTCCAAACCACAGCACTAGGTTCTGTTTTTATATAGACGTTCCAAGGGCATGACTTGTCTTTTTCTTGTCAAATAAATATAAATGCAACTGTACAGGACTTTAGTTTGGGGTTTGTTTATTTTTTGTCTCACGCTGTAGCCCAGACTGACCTCAGATTTGTGGCAATCCTCCTGCCTCATCTGTGGAGTGCTGGGATTACAGCCTGTGCTGTGACAGGTAGCTAGTTTCAGTATTCTTAACAGTCTTGTTTGTCAATATAACAGGGACTTAAAGTGAAATACACTTTTCTTAAAATCCCTTCTTACAGGATCAGATGACAACAACCTAAATTCCATCTTCTATGAACATTTAACCAGATCCCTGCAGCACAGTCTCTGTGGTGATTTGCTGCTGGGACGGTGGGGAAACTACAGCACAGGGGACTGTTTCATCCTTGCCTCTGACTATCTCAATGCTTTAGTACACCTTATAGAGATAGGCAATGGCCTGGTCACTTTCCAGCTGCGAGGACTCGAATTCAGAGGTAAGACATTCATGTGCTTTTTAATTTTGTTGTGTGCTCCTGTGACAGCTAAATTTATATATTTCTATCTCAAATCAAAAGTTACAGAATTAGATCTTTGAGATTGTGGCATGAGAAAAATTATTAACAAATAATTATTATACCCTCCCCTAAGTTTCTAGTTCAAAGAGTGCAGGTGTGGCATTGGTGAGTGATTGGCCTGTTTTCCTGAAGTGCTGGCCTTCTGTTCTGCAATTCTCTTGCCAGGCCCTTTTGTGACCAGTTGCATAAATTTGTTCAAGGACTATAAGCACAGAATGCTGAGTTTTTGTTTGAGGCAGCTGTGTTAACTAGCTGTGTTTGTAAAACACGATGCCATCATCCCCGATAGTCTTCAGTTGAAATGAAATCACATAACCTAAAAGAGTTTTTAGCCTGAGTTCTTTGAATTTTTTTTGTTGGGATAAGTCAGGAGTGCCTGGAATGTAGAGCATGGCCACACCGGAGACCTCCCAGTGAGGGCGGCAGGAGACAGGCCCACTCCATTCTAAACACACTGTCTCTACCCAAGAGCCCCCAGGCAAAACTATTAGGTCTCTAATCCCTTTACCCTAACCAGGTCTCTTGTAGATCATGTGACCGGAGGACAGGACAAAGGCCACATAGAAACCCCCTCCCTTCCCCTACCTGCCTGCCCACCAGAAAACCAACCCCACCTCTTTGCCGTCGAAACTTCCCTATAAAAACTTCTCCTTCGCCATATTAAAACAAGCTGTCTACTGACACAGTCTCCCGGGTGTTTCTTCCTGCCGTACTCGCCACCCGAGGCCCCTCTCTCCCTATTGGTCTCCCTCCTCACCCCAACCTTCTGTGACAGGGACGTTGCGCAACGGTCTCCCAGTAGCAGCGGGGGTCCAGGCTGAGGAGAGGGCCGACATTTTTTAGTTTGGAACAGGAAACAGGGAAGCCTTTGCCTGGATCTGACCTGTGATAGCTTGCCTTTTGGTCAACTCACTATGTAGACCAGGCTGGTCTTGAACTCACAGAGATCCGCCTGCCTCTGCCTCCCGAATGCTGGGATTAAAGGCGTGCGCCACCACACCCGGCCATTCCACTGTCTTTTTTGAATTAACTCAAATCTTGAGGAAATGTACATTTACGCATTTGACTTTCAGTTTATACAAGTGCAGTTGTAAACCTGTTTGAAAAATTTGAAATCCGTTAGTCAGAATTAAAGAAGTTACTCTACAGCACGAATTCCCAGGACCTTTCATGTGGCAAAGCTCACTGCGATTTCTGCAGGAAATGAACGTAGAGTGTACCTGGATTCTGGAGTTTGGTACAGTTTAGAAATGAATATTCTAAGGCAAAGTAATCACATCAATCTAAAGTGCTATAAAATGTCTTTCCTAAGTCTTCTGTGTCCTGTAGGATTCATTTCCAGCTTCCCAGTTTGTGTGCCTTCGTCTGTCATGCTTCCTGCCTCGCTTTTTTCAAGGTACCTATTGTCAGCAGCGAGAAGTGGAGGCCATTACAGAAGGCGTAGAAGAAGATGAAGGGTTTTGCTGTTGTGAACCTGGCCATATCCCTCATGTGCTTTCATTTAACGCTGCATTTGGCCAGCGCTGGCTAGCTTGGGAAGTGATAGTCACTAAGTACATTCTGGAGGGGTACAGTATCACTGACAACAGTGCTGCGTCCATGCTTCAAGTCTTTGATCTTCGGAAAGTACTTACCACTTACTACGTCAAGGTAAGGGTATGTGCCTGCTTATATTGGTTAGCTGAAGGATTTCACGGTAAAGTCACACACACATTTTATTCGTATATTCATGAATGCATTCATTATTTTTGCTGTACTAAGGATCAAACGCAGATCAAGCACTCTACCACTGATCTGCATCCCTGAGCCCCTCACACGTTTTAAACTTGTGCTTTGCTTCCAGGTAGCGATTAAAATTTTCTAGTATCCAGAAAAGTTAGTAAAAAAAAATACCATGGAAAATTTTTATTTTATGTGTATGAGTGTTTTGTCTGCAAGTATCTAAGTGCACCACGTGTGCAATGCCAGCAGAGGCTAGAAGAGGGTGTTGGATTCCCCTGGAACTGTAGTTACGGATGGTTGTTAGCCATCTTGTGGGTGCTGGGAATTGAACCCAGGTCTTCTAGAAGAACAGCAAGTGCTCTTAACTGCTGAGCCTCCATGGCAAAATTTTTAAACGCACATGCTCACACCCCATGAAGATCTTATTCTTGTTCCATTTGTTCATTACCATTAGTAGCTAGCATTTGTAGTTTATATGTTTTAGGCACTCCTGGGTACACACACACACACACACACACACACACACACACACATCTAAAAGAGACAAATCTTAGAGGGCAGTCATGTAGACATGGTTGGCCACCCACATGACTGACCCAAGTTTCCAAAGATCAAGTTTTCTAAAGGTCAAGTTGAGACTGTAGGGCTCTGCCCTAGCTGAACAAAGCCTCTGATGAGGCAGCCATTCCAAACACTTAGAGATTACCTCCCAAGACCTGAAGGTAAGTTTAGACCTCTCACTGGTCAAGGTTAATCTTTTACTGCACAAAATACTCTGTTTTTGCCAAAGATTGTGTGGAAATACCACATAGCTGTGATTTGGATATTTCTGAGAGGTAAGTGTATAATAAGCTTCGATGACTGATGTCTGAACTTTTCCTATTTTATGTTGTTACCTCTAAGTTCCACCTCGTTTGTGCTGATTTTGGTGAGCCTTGGGCCTTGCACTTGAGCCAGAATTTCTATTTTTTTAAACTTGTACATGTGTGTAGCTCTCTCTCTCTCTCTCTCTCTCTCTCTCTCTCTCTCTCTCTCTGTCTCTGTCTGTCTCTCTCTCTTTCTCTCTGTCTCTCTCCCTTTATGTTTATGCTTAGCTGTATTCTATTACTCAAACTATGAACACCAAAAGTTTTTAATAACTTTTATAAGAACATTTTCAAAATAAATGCAGTATAGTAAATTGTTTTCACCTCTGTTAAAATATCCTAAATTCAAAAGCATTAAAATCAGTAGACCAGGTTGCCTTGCTGAATTCATGGTTGGGATTTTAAAGTATTAGGTTTTGTTTGGTTGGTTGGTTTGTTGGTTTTGGGTTTTATTTTATTTTTCATTTAGGAAGGCTTGAAGCAGCTTTCTTAAAATGTAGACATAGAACACTGAGCTAAAATAAAATATTTTTTAGTTAGATTACCTGTAGAAACAGTTGGAATTTATTTCACGGAGAAATTGGGACAAATTCGAATTGTGATTTAACTTAAATTCACCTGTGTTTTCCACATTAGGGTATCATTTATTATGTTACAACCTCCTCTAAGTTGGAGGAGTGGCTGGCTAATGAGACCATGCAGGAAGGGCTGCGTCTGTGTGCAGACCGAAATTATGTTGACGTAGACCCAACATTCAACCCAAATGTGGATGAAGACTATGACCATCGGCTGGCAGGCATTTCCAGGGAGAGCTTCTGTGTGATTTACCTCAACTGGATAGAGTACTGCTCTTCCCGGAGGGCAAAGGTAGGGCTGGTTCATTTCATTTGCAACTCTCTGAACCCAGGTTTTTAACAAAAATGGAAAGAATATCCCTGTTAGTTGTTATGAATGGATTTTTCCTAAGCTTCCTTTCTCTGGTCCTCTGTATTGGGAAACATGTCTACCTTGTCATGTTTGAGCCGAGCCAACTCTGCCAAGGCAGGGAGAGGAGAATGGCCCTCATTTCCTTTGCAGAATCCTGAATTCACAGTCCAGATAGCCTTCTTTCACCTTGTAAGCCTGCTTATACACAAGTTCAGATGACATGCATCACTCCCCCAAATCTAGGCCTTTGTCGGCAGTGCCCACCAAACTTCAATATGTTTGTCCCAAATACGAAGTCTAGACCAGTGCTATCTGCAAGAATGTCCAGCCATGATGGAAATGTCCTCTGCTGTCCAGTATCACACATGGCTTTAACACTTGGGAAGTGGCCTTGTACAATTGTAGAACTGAATTTTACCTTTTTCTTCTCTAATTTATTTAAACAGCTTATGTGGCTGTGCTTATGTGGTAGTGTGCACCTAGATCACTCACTTTCAAATGTGGATTTAGATAGAAATGACTTAGGAACTTTTGAATGTAAAGATTTTTGGACTTTTCCCAAGAAATTCTGAATAAGTAAGTCTAGGCCAAGAATGTAAAATATGAGTCTCCCTGAGTGATTTGATTCAGTGTTTCCCCATCCATACATTAGGACAACCTGTCTTACCCTAAAAGTAAGATGAATTACACACTTTAGCAAGTGCTGTTCCTTCTGGGTCTTAGGGTACTTGTAAGTAGAGTCATGCCCCTGGCCAGGCTCTAACAAAACCTATGATTAGAGCTCATTCCTGTCACTAGTGTTGCTCCCCAAGGAAAAGACTTGTGGAACTGAACCACCCAGCATATCTTGGAGCAACCAGGGCCCTGATGGGGATCTGGGACGTAGACACCTGCCGTATGTCCCATACGCACTTTCTTCAGGATTCATACCTGGGGTGGCCCCTACTCCATTGCACTCAGGTGCCCTGTCATCTTAGCATCTTTTCTCTATCAGTAAGAATGAGGCATCTTTGTATTTCCTTCAGGCTTCACGCTAGATGTGCAACATATTGATTGGAATAGTTTTGTTTTTGTTTTTTTTTGGTTTTTTTTTTTTTTTTTGGTCTCCCTGAAGTCCCAACTGACCTGGAACTCACTATGTAGGTGGTGGATGTGTATCATATTGATTGGAGTATTTTTGTTTTTGTTTTTTTTTTGTTTTTTTTTTTTTTTTTGGTCTTTTTGGGACAGGGTCTCCCTGTAGACCAGGCTGGCCTTGAACTCACAGAGATCCACCTGCCTCTGCCTCCTGAGTGCTGAGATTAAAGGTGTGTGCCACCATGCCCGGCCCCAGAATAGCATATTTTTAAAGAATGAATAATGAGTAGGATGAAATTCCCTTCTAAGAGGCTAAAAACATTAGCAGACAGCATTTGAGAACAGTGTGCCTCAAAGTTGATCTTCTCTTCTTCCAGATATGTAACAGGCAAATCTTTTTTTCCATGCAAGAAATATATGTAAGATGCTTTGCGTACTGTTTACAAAGTCTTGGACTTCAGGGGCTGGTGTTTGAGGAGTGCAGGCATGTTATTCTAACGTCCCTTCTCTGTTGAAGTTCACCATCCATTCAGAGATGGGCTCTGCCCTGCCTGAATTTAAGTAACTCTTCTCTCAGAGATTATTATTGGTAGACATAGCTTGAAGAAGTCATCCTGTGCGCTGATAACATAGGTACATTCAACAGTCTAACTTTCAGTGTGAACATCCCCAGTCTCTTCAGAGACCAACTCAGCCTACAGTGCATTCTCCTTGTTGCAATCCCGTTAGAATAAAGTTATTAGCAGCATTTTTCCAGATGTGTATGGACTCTTTTGCTACAGTTTTTCTTTCATCAAATCAGGATCATCCCCACCTCCTTAAGATCATGCTTTCTGTTCTCTAAATCCCATTCCTAGAATGACCTCTTCCTAGGGAAGCACAGGACGCCATCAAGACGTGGGGACTCCAAACCCAAGTACCTTGACCATCATAGTAAGCCACTGCCTCATACTCAGTTTACTTTCAAGGCAGTGGTCCAACTTGCATGTTACATAATAATAAAAGATCATTTTTTCCTTCTCTGATTGTATTAGGGTTGAGTTCTTTGTCCCAAACTTAATTTGATAGTTTCTGATTTGTTAAATACTTACGTAGCTTTGTGTTAACTAATGTTCTTTATTTTTCTGTTTACATAACTTTCTGATAGCTAATGTTCTTTATTTTTTAAAGCCAGTGGAGGTGGACAAAGATTCATCCCTGGTGACTCTTTGTTATGGACTGTGTGTTCTGGGACGGAGAGCTCTGGGAACCGCATCCCACAATATGTCCAGGTAAAGCAGGCATTTCTGTCTTCAAGAAGAAAGTATGGAAGCTGTGTAACCTAAACTGAAATAAGTTTAGTTTTTTTGATGGGTGCTGGTGGTGTTCAATTGGTTGGTTGACTTGATTCTTTTAAACTTTTTATTTATTTATTAATTTGTTATTTTATGTGTATGAGTGTTATGCCTGCATGCATGTAAGTGCACTCATGTTGTGCAGTGCCTGTGGAGGACAGAAGAGAGTGTTGGATCCTCTGGAACTGGAGTTCCAGATGGTTGTTTAGCTGCCGTGTGGGTGCTGGGATTCGAATCCTGGTATTCTGTAAGAGCCACTGGTGCTCTTGCAGTCCCTGGAATTTTTTTTTAGCCATTTATTTTGGGCTACTTTATTGCAGTTTCTTTAGATGTTCTTTTTTGTAGATCTTCTTGCTGAGTATCTTGTGTTCTAGTAACTGGTTAACTGGCTTTTAAAAGTCACACTCATGTGAATAGCTATTGATAGTGATGCTTTAAAAATGTTTTACAATCCCTTTGTCAGGTCCGATGGATCTCCTCACATTTATATCTGTTTTTCTAACAAACTTATCTTTTTTTTCTACATTTTTTTTTCTACATTTCTTTGCCCAGAGCAGTTATATTTTTAAAACAGTATGTATTTGATTTGGGCACTGTGAAAATAAAATGAATTTTCTGACATCTATGTCCAAATGAGTTAGAATTAAGAAGCAGTATGTATTTCACGTTTCTTCTTTGAGTACCTTTTACCTTAGACTCACCTTCATTTCTTTTACTGTACAGGCCCTTTGCCTGGTGTTTATTTTCATGAGCTTTTACAGTGGTTCCTAAGCAGAAGCCCTCGGTCAAACAGGGCCTATCTCTAGTGATTCTGATTTAGGAATTCTGACTTTAGCACCCGGATTCTGTTTTCAAAACACTCCCTGATGATTCTGATGCAGAGCCAGATGTAAGAATCTGTGTCATGAAGGCCTTTGTAAAAATATGTGAACTTTTATCTCCAATCTTAACAGTAATTTAGAGTCATTCCTCTATGGATTGCATGCCCTATTTAAAGGAGATTTCCGGATTTCTTCAATTCGAGATGAGTGGATCTTTGCTGACATGGAATTGTTAAGAAAAGTAGTCGTCCCTGGAATCCGCATGTCCATCAAACTCCATCAGGTAGGAGATGGGTTTGTTTGTTTTTAAATTCCTTACTAGGGTTTACTGATGCTCCGTCATTTGATTTCCACATTCTATTTTTAGAAACCTTTGAGAAATGCTCTCATCTGAATCAGTGAAAAACATGATTCACAGCAAGACATTAACTCTTAAGCCTGCACCTGTGTTTCTAATAGTAGCAAGAATAATTTTAATATTATTATTGGAAAGTGATCTAGGCATGAATTTGGAAAATAAAGGTCTTTGACCCCTGTAATACTGGTTTGACTTCATGTGATTGTAATTCAGGCCTCTTCCCAAGTAAGTGTCCCACTGAAAATGCAGTACAGTAATGGCCCAGGATTGACCTGAGTGTTGCTGTCACCAAGCCCTGTTCCATTTACTGTGTTCTATATAGTGGTGGTTAGACAAACTCACCTTTCATTAAACAATGCTAGTAGGATACTGAAATTGAAATTCGGCCCCACAATGCATTTCCAAAGCCCTAGATCATTTCAAGTGAATTTAAGCACTCGTGATCCTTTCTCTGGTCATTCCACTCAACTGAGGTTAATGTGATTGGGCAGATGCATCTGCTGTGCCCAAATCTGACTGAAATATTTTCCCCTAAATAAAAGGTGATGTTCTCAGCCAGGCATAGTGGCACACGCCTTTAATCCCAACACTCAGGAAGCAGATGCCAGTGGATCTCTGTGAGTTCAAGGCCAGCCTGGTCTACATAGTGAGTTCCAGGACAGCTGGTGCTACAGAGAGACCCTGTCTCAAAAAAGACCAATTAAAAAAAAAAAAAAAAAAAAATGATGTTCTTTTCAAGTGATTTACTGTATTAAAGTATTAGAATGAAGCTAAAATCTCATATTCTCTGGGAGCATACTAGTAAGGAGTAAGTTATTTGAAAACAGAATACTGTTCTGAAGATCATGGAGAAAATACTCATTTGGGATCAAGTGTGATTGTCCTTGTTCAGACTAACTTTAGAGTTTTAAGACAAAATATAATACATTTGACAGAAAAGCAGCCGGGCATGGTGGCACATGCCTGTAGTCCCAGCACTTGGGAGGCAGAGGCAGGCGGATCTCTGTGAGTTCAAGGCCAGCCTGGTCTACATAGTGAGTTCCAGGACAGCTGGGGCTACAGGAAGATCCTGCTTCAAAAAGACCAAAAAAAAGAAAGAAAAGGCAAGGACCAGGTTAATTGAGAGAGGGAGCACTGTACTGAGAGACTGAACCTAGAGCCTTATGCCCACAGGGTAGGTGAGCTATATCCTCAGCCCTCATTTTACTTTAAAAAAAAAAAAATTGAGACAGAGTCTTGCCAAGTTGTCCAGGCTGGCTTTGAACGACTCAGTAGGGCAGGCAGGTCTTAAATTTTTGATCCTCCTGTCTCAGCTTCCTGAGTAGCTGGGATTAACAGGCATATACCATCAGGCCCCAACATAAAAAACTCCAAAATTTCTACAGTTCAATCCCAGTGAAAAGAAATATTTGAACAAGATTAAAGTCTTCACTTGTAGCATGCCTGATAACTTTGGTCCATTTTATCAAGAATGTGTTTATTGCTTGTGTCAGAACTTTTTTTCCTCATCCAAATAACTGTACTAATGTTAGTAAACAAAAGTGCTAGCATCTCTTCCCCAATGGAACTGGTTGCTTGAAGGCAGCATACCATATGACAGGACATGTCTGTTGTCCAGGAAAGTACAAAGCCAGTATTTAACAGAAAGGTTAGGAGCAACCAAAAGTCTACACTGCTCATCTGTTTGGTGGTTTACAAACGCTGTCTTAGCAGAAGCGGTCAAGGTCCAGGATTCTTAGGCAAGAGATTCATCCAGGTATCAGAGGCTCTGTTGACCTGGAGGTACCGCATACCAACTCTGAGCCTAGAAAGCAACTCTGCCCCCCTGAACTTCAGTTCTGACACATGTGAAGAGCAGGTGCTGTGTCGGCTCCCTTAACAGCTGGTCGAAATGCTGGGCCTGAGGACACTGCTGGCCTGAAAAGCATTGTTCGCATGTGCAGCATTATTCTCACAGACCTCCCCCAGACTCAGAGCCAGCCTGCTGGGGACTGCCTTCTCACAGTTGTCCCTTCCTGCAGCAGCACAGGCTCTGGTCTTTGGGGCCGCGCACAGATGAGTCACTTTACTACATGTAGACATGTGTCGGCCTCCTAACTAAATATGAAAACAGCCAATAAAGTACTTGCATTTCCTGAATAGCATCATTCTGACCTTTAGATTTGTGTTAAGATTCTTTTGGAACATGTCTTATGATTCCCTGTTAGCTTGTAGGCTTTAAAAGGGAGGTATGTACCTTTGTCTCATCCACGCTTCCTGCCGCAGTCTTTCTCATAACAGAGATACCAAATATTTATCACGTGAATGAGTAGCTATTAAGACCAAGAAACTCTTCAGAGCAGGACCGGAATACCTGGTCTGTGTCCAAAGCTCAGGACTGAGAGTTGGCAAAACTAGAGGTGAGGCAGGATGCGTGGCAAGTTACAAGAATTACAGATGTGCTGGAGTGGGGGATTTAGCTCAGTGGTAGAGCGCTTGCCTAGCAAGCGCAAGGCCCTGGGCTCGGTCCTCAGCTCCGAAAAAAAAAAAGACAAAATAACAAGTATTACAGATGTGATGCTGTATGGGAAACGCACCCAATTTTAAAAGGATACAATATGGAGATCTTTTGTAGATCTTCCTTAACTCATGACAGTGAAGTAAGTCTCAAAATATATACATGAAGACCAACAAGATGACTCAGTGGTTAAAGGCACTCACCACATAAGTCTGCAGACCTGAGTTCAATCTCCAGACCCACTTAAAGGTGGAAGGAGAGAACTGACTCCACAGAGTTCCCCTCTGATATCCACATGTATACTGTGGCGTGTACACACATCATGTACACATAACAATAAAAAATTAAATATGCATGAATAACTATATGAAAAAACAGCTTGGAAGAAGAAAAGACAATATATAAAACTTGAAAATGATGCTTTTTATATAAAACTCCAAGGGTGGGATTGGTTGAAGAACTTGAAATGTAGTATAATAGTAATGCGTTCATTCCTAACCTGGTTAAAACGAAGACTATCCTCATCATTGGTATAGATAGTAGGAAACTAAGTCAGTTTGCAGGAGTTTTTGCTTAATAACTTCTTAGTAACTCTAGAGGTTTTTCTCATCCTCAAAGTCATTCTCCTCTTTTCCTAAAACCCATATTTTGCATTTCTCTGTGCAGGATCATTTCACTTCCCCGGATGAGTATGACGACCCCACTGTGCTCTATGAAGCCATCGTGTCTCATGAAAAGAACCTGGTGATAGCCCACGAAGGGGACCCTGCGTGGCGGAGCGCTGTTCTTGCTAACTCTCCTTCACTGCTGGCTCTGCGGCATGTCATGGATGATGGCGCCAACGAGTACAAGATCATCATGCTCAACAGACGCTACCTGAGCTTCAGAGTCATCAAGGTCAGCCTCTGGGTCATGTATTGTCATCTAAAAAAGCTGAAGTTCCATAACTTAGTCCAGCCCTTTAAAATGTAATTGACTCGTTTTACAAAGTGAGTAACCAGACTAGCAGCATTCATAGCTTTTGAACACATATTTTCAGTGATTTATTCAGCCCTGTGAGATTTTCTGATTTGCTATAAAACCTTAAATTTTTTTGCTTCTCCTGGTGTTGGTGTGGTCTTTTACCTGTCATACATGCAATCTAGGCAGTAGCACTTTTAAAAAGCACTGTATTCTGATAAGGCACCTTTCCTAGGTTAGAAGAAGCTTATGCTTCATGATGATTCAAAGCTGACTGTAGATTGTTCGCCCTTTTATCATCCCCTCCCCTCCCCTTCTCTCCTCCCCTCTCCTCTCCTCTCCCTTCTTCCCTTTTCTGACAGGGTTTTGTAGTCTAACCTGACCTCAAACTCACTATGTACCCAAGGCTGGCCTTGAACTCCTGATCCTTTTGCTTCTCTCTTTCAAGTGCTGGATTTACAGGTGTGTATCACCTTGCCTGGCTAAATGAAATAGTCCCCTCCCATCCTCTACTCTCCTCGCCTCTCCTCTCCTCTGTCTCTGTCTCTCTCACTCGCTTGCTCACTCCCTCTTACTCTCTCTTTCTGTATGTGTACCTGTGTGTCTATGTGCCTGTATCTCTTGTGTGTGTGTGTATGTGTGTGTGTGTACACGTGTCTGTCTGTGTCTCTATGTATGTGTGTCTGCATAAACATTTCAGGACTTTTGGAAGTTTTTTTTTATTCATGGTATATACTGATTCTTTTTTTTTTTTTTTTTTTTTACTTTTTGAGACAGGGTCTCCCTGTAGCCCCAGCTGGCCTGGAACTCACTATATAGACCAGGCTGGCCTCGAACTCACAGAGATCTGCCTGTCTCAGTCTCCCAAGAGCTGGGACTACAGGCATGCCACCACGCCCATAGTGATTCATTTTTATCTGCATCATTTAATCAATCCCAAGATATCACAAACACCCTTTCAACCTGAAATATGCTGCCTGTTTATGTCTGTCAAAAATATCCATTATGTAGTTCAGTAAATTGAGTCCTTCATCAGTTTGACAAACTAAATAGACTGCATTTTACTTAGCACCTTCAGAAGATGGAGCAGGGCAAAGAGCTGCTATCGCTCAGCAGTCTGCCATCAGTGAAGGCACAGTGGTCACAGGCCTGATCAAATGGGACCTGTGCATTCCAGCTTTTCACAGTTGCTCATTGTACTGAGCTGCCTGTCAGCCCCATTTCTGCTCTTCTGTTTCTCTGAACTTTTTTCTTGGTCCCTTACGTGGTTCCTGTATGCTCTGGTCTGCAGGTCAATAAGGAGTGTGTCCGAGGTCTTTGGGCTGGACAACAGCAAGAGCTTGTTTTTCTCCGGAACCGGAACCCAGAGAGAGGGAGCATCCAGAATGCAAAGCAGGCTCTGCGGAACATGATAAACTCCTCTTGTGATCAGCCTATTGGCTACCCCATCTTTGTGTCACCCCTGACAACATCTTATTCTGACAGCCATGAACAGCTCAAAGAAATTCTTGGGGGTCCTATCAGCTTGGGAAATATCAGAAACTTCGTTGTGTCCACCTGGCACAGGTACTACGGGGTTGGGTTTTTCAGTGGGCCGCTTTTTCCCAGCGGTGTGTATTAACATGGGACGCTTGTAGAAAAGACAGAGAATCCATGGCATAATGCTCACACAGAGCATATCTGAACACCACAGAATAGAATCTAAGATTTGTATCTTCAGAAATTAAGGTAAGCCTAACAGATACTCAGCAAACATCAGTGGAGCTCCTGTAACTGTGGCAGCGGTATCAGTAAACCTTGAATATTCCCTCCTTTGTTTAATTTTTTTCACAGTGTTGCAGCATCTTGCCACTATTAAGAGAAAAATATTAGAAACATCACAAGTGATTACTTTGTTCGGTTTTATCTTTTTGGTCCAGCGGGAGGCGGACACTGCACACATCCTGAAACTGCAGGTTCCATGCAGAGCTTCTGTTGCCTTGTTAACAACCCGTCATCTCCAGACCTCAGATCTATAGTGTGTTCCAGTACACATGTGAAGTGATCTTTTGCCCTTTGTCTAGTGAAGCCTGACATGATTTTCTAGGAGCATCATAATTTGTGGAGAGTACTGAAAAAGTATAGAATATTATTCTCACTTTCTTAAGAGTTGTTGAGTTTCCAGAGTGGAGAGATAGCTCAGCAGTTAAGCGCACTGGCTGCTCTTGCAGAGGACCCAGGTTCGATTCCCAGCACCCACATGCCATCTGTAACTCCAGTTCCAGGGGATCTGACACCCTCTTCTAACCTCCATGGACATTGCACGACACAGGTTCACAACTACCGACATGGCAGGCAATACACTCATACACATAAAATTAATAAAATATTTTTAAGAGAATTGTTGAGTTTCTTAACTGTCAGAGCATAAAAAGAGAACAGCACATTCACATAGTGCTTTAAGATTCTTCTAGTCATGCCCAGTGTTTGCAGAGTAAAGTTGTAACAGTCTCCAACCAAAGAGAAGGAGAAATATAAGCCAGTACAGTGTTGAAAAGAAACTTTATTTTCAAGAAAAGCTCTGTGTTATTAGGCACTGTCTAGAAGAAATTGAGCTCCTGCCCCCTTAGAAATGGTATAGAGACAAGGTTCTAATTTGCCTGGGACTAAAAGCTTTCTGGGTGCATGGCTTCCAGTGCCAAACTGAGGCAGTCACGGCCAGAGCACAGTCGTCAGTTAGTCTTCCTATATTTAAAACAAAGAACCGGGCCGGTGTGGTAGCGCACGCCTTTATTCCCAGCACTCGGGAGGCAGAGCCAGGTGGATCTCTGTGAGTTCAAGGCCAGCCTGGTCCACATAGTGAGTTCCAGGACAGCTGGGGCTACAGGGAGACCCTGTCTCCAAAAGACCAAAAAAGAAGAAGAAAACAAAGAGCCAAAACAGAAGAGAAAAAAACCGATTGTGACACCTCTCTTGAAATGTACTCCAGCAGCAGTATGCATAAGCTGGGATCTCAGAGTTTACACACTTTAGAGTTACTACCCAGATACTGGCAAGATTTCTGTTTCCAAAGCCTGGTGTGGTGGCTTTCACCTGGAGTCCTAACACATGGGAGACTGAGGCAAGAGGATTGCTGTGAATTCCGGACCCCCTGGGCTACATAGTGAGTTCTGGATCAGGCTGGGCTACAGAGTGAGGCTCTGTCTCAAACAACAAAGACTCTTTGCAGCTGGGATTCTCATGGTAAAACTGTGCTCTGTACAGCTCTTCATTATGGTGTATGGAAGATGACAGAGAATGCAGACATGGAGGCCCTGGGAACACTTTTGGCAGTGGCTAGTAAGAACAGTGTGGTTCTTAAGCCATTTTTAAAATCAGACTTCTTTTGTTCTTGATAGTGATTATACATACCATAGACTTCGAAAGGTAGATACTGACAGCATTAACAGCTCAGAAGAGCTGGAAAAAGAATAGAGGATCAACTTTGAAGTGACCTGGGGCTAATGCTTCCTACTTTGGAATCTCTTCCCAGGCTAAGGAAAGGTTGTGGAGCTGGCTGTAACAGTGGTGGCAATATTGAAGATTCTGACACTGGAGGTGGGACTTCCTGTCCTGGTAACAGTGCCACAACTGCCGGTGAGCCTCATAACAACGCACCCCAGGGAAGCACCGGATATCCTGGACAGGGATCTGGAACAGGACTCCACCCGCCTGTCACTTATCCTCCAGCACTAGGTAACGTGAAGCAGAGTTATGGATGTTGACTTCTTAGTCATGGGAGCAGCGAGTATTTTGTCAGTGGAGGAATGTATATCATGTACTTGGAAATGCAGTCAGTGTTTTACTAAACTTTCAGTTGTGCATTGTACTGTTTATATCAATGTGTAAATCTTTGTAATCACTCATTGCTTTCTTAGGCTAGACCTTGTAAGTCGGTACCTAATACCCAAATCCTTCCCAGTTTCTTTGCTCTCCAGTGGGTAGTCTGGCAGTGGATAGGCTGGGCAGTCAGGAAGGAAAGCCTGTGCCACCAGCCTTCCCATCTTGTGCATCGTCATTCCAGCTTCCTCTTGATTGAATCAAGCTAGTTACCACAGCCATTTCCTTGTAACTTCTTGTGAGTGTGGTGAGAACATTTTAGGGCTCCTCAGCAGTATTCAAGCAGACCAATCTTACTCTCTGTAGTCATCCTGAAACTCATCTCCAGAACTCATTCGTCCTGTCCTACTGGAACTTGGCACCCTTTAACCAGCATCTCCCTCTTTCCCTGCCCCGCCCCCCAGCCACTGTTCCACCCTTGGCCTCTCTGAGTTCGACTCTTAGATTCCACATGTCAGTGAAATCATGCAGTGTTTTTTTAATTATTTTGTATGTGTGAGTGTATTGCTTGAATGTATGTAAGTGGACCCATGTGGTGCAGTGCCCTTGGAAGTCAGAAGAGGGCATCAGATCCTCTGGAGCTAGAGTTATGAATGGTTGTTAACTGCCATGTGGGTGCTGGGAAGTGAATCCAGTTCCTCTGCAAGAGCAGCCAGTGCTCTTAACTGTTGAGCCATCTCTCCAGCCCATGCAGTGTTTCTTAATGAACATTCTGTCTCGTTTCCAAGATAGTTCATCTCTGATTCATTAAAGAAGTAATATAATACTTTCCTAAATTTTTTTGAGAATTTTGTACCTCAGTATTTACATCATTTGCATCCCTCCTTCTTCCCCTCTAGCTCCTCCCACACTCCCCACTTGCCTCTCAATATCCTGATTTCTTCTTTATTATTGTGACATATATGCAACCTATTAAGTCCACTTTTGGTGCTAGTAATTACTTTCTGAAATATTTCTATAAGAGATGTTTTAGAATTTATCCTAACTTTACATCCACATACTTCCTGTAAATTATTTGTCTTTCTTATGCCCTAGAATTTGAATATTAAAAAGCCTTAAGAAATAAAAAAATTATATCTGGAAATCATACAAGAAAACAAATGTCTCAGATATTTATTTCTTTCTGATAACCTTAAAAAGTTTTAGGCATAGGGGCTGGAGAGATGACTCAGTGGTTAAGAGCACTAACTGCTCTTGCAGAGGAGCCAGGTTCAAATCCCAGCACCCACATGCAGCTAATAACCATCCATAACTTCGGTTGCGAGGCACCTTCTTCTGTCCTCTGAGGGCATTGTACAACACAGGTGCACTTACATACATGCAAGCAATACGTATTGCACATACACATAAAATAAAAATAATAAAGAAAATTTTTTAAGTTTTAGGTATAAATATCACGTTCTGTAAATTTAGGAAGTGCTTGCTGAAGGGAGAAAGTCTAAGGAACTAAAACATAAGCCTCACATGTGACATGTCCACTGTGAGTGAAGGCTGATGTTGTTGCTCCCTGGCAGGCACCAGCCACAGTGCCCACTCCGTGCAGTCGAGCCTGGTCAGACAGTCCCCCGCCCGAGCCTCCGTGGCCAGCCAGTCTTCCTACTGCTACAGCAGCCGGCACTCATCCCTCCGGATGTCCACCACGGGCTTTGTGCCCTGTCGGCGCTCCTCCACCAGCCAGATATCACTTCGAAACTTGCCATCATCCATCCAATCCCGCCTGTCCATGGCAAACCAGATGGAAGTCACGAGCCAGAGTGGCATGGCCTGTGTACAGCATGGCCTGCCCTCCTCCAGCAGCTCCAGCCAAAGCATCCCGGCCTGCAAGCATCATACCCTCGTGGGCTTTCTTGGGGCGGAGGGAGGTCAGAGCAGTGCCTCTGATGCCCAGCCAGGCAACATCTTAAGTCCTGCAAACAATGCACATGCCAGAAAGGGGGAAGTGATTTACAGAGTCCAAGTGAGTAAGCACAGAGATTTTATGCTGTTTGTCTTTTTTCATGTCTTATTTTATGTGTGAAAAAAATAAACAGTGAAAATGTGTATTATTTAGGTGGGAACTGGAGCACTTTGGAGTGCTGGGGGCAAAAAGCCTTTCTGTCAACTTAAAAACTGAAAGCAAGTTTTTGTGGCAGTAATGTTTCCTGCTTGGTGTTGACGCAGTCATTGCGAGAAGTCACTAGTAAGCCCAAAAGAATTGGTGAGGGGCTCTGAAAAAAAAATTTTTTTTAATTCCACTAGAAGCAGTGGAGAACTTAAGATGTAAAGAGTCCTGTGAAGGAAATTTATTTGCACTTTTATTTCTCATCGCCAAGAGAAGTGAGCTGGAAATGACCCTGCAGTATTTGTTTAGATTGTGGATCCCAGTCAAATTCTGGAAGGAATTAACCTGTCAAAAAGGAAAGAGCTGCAGTGGCCTGATGAGGGAATTCGGTTAAAAGCTGGGAGAAGCAGCTGGAAAGACTGGAGTCCTCAGGAGGGCATGGAAGGCCATGTAAGTTCTCGTGTGAAGCTTCTGTACGCTTTTTGATCATCTGACTCCCTTGAATGCATGTGTTTAGCTAACTTGACTTGTTAAACAGGAGTCTCCCTAGAGAGAGGGGTTTGAGTTTGAGAGTACAGTCAAGGTCCCTGCCACTAACTGCTTTTTTGTTCTGAGTCATTAGGTGATTCACCGATGGGTGCCTTGCAGCAGAGACCCAGGTACGAGGTCCCACATCGACAAGGCAGTGCTTCTGGTTCAGATTGATGACAAATACGTGACTGTCATTGAAACTGGGGTACTGGAACTTGGGGCTGAAGTGTAAGCCGATACTTTGTACCTCCGTTTCTTTTCTCCTGCCTCCCAGACCTTAGGGAGAAAGAGCAAGGTCACAGAAGATCTGCCTGCAGGAATCACCTCGGTCCTCTGTGGGAGAGACCTGAACAGTGACTTGGCTAAGCGCCTCTCCTTCACCCTGACTCCTGTCACTGTCCTCATCCCCAAATAAAGCTGAAATATTTTTTTAAGTTAGCTGCTGAGAAAACATTTTGCATGACAGATAAAGTTCTGTTAAAACACATCTTTAAAAGGCTTTCCTACGCATCACCTGTGCTTTCAGTCCACAAACTCTTCGTTTCTAAACTATGATCTCATATTTTTCTAATTTCTTTGCCAAAAACAACTGCCATGGTTTTTGTCATAGAAAATGAAATCTGTTGACCATGATTTTTACAAACAGACCCATGTGGAAGCATTCAGTTTGACACATAGCAGTATAAGAATTTAATGTACAGCAAGAAAAGATGACTAGACGTAGATTTATCTTATTCCTTGAGCACTAAAAACTTTAATAAAAAGAAAACTGCACTAATTTTTTACAACGATGCACTAAATCTGAGATTTCTCAGAACATTTATTTATATATAAAAATAAAATACCATTATTTAAATTGCCTTTGGGATTGCCCCTCCCTTTCCTGATACATGGAGTCGGCAGAGCCTGCGGCTTGTTTCCTGTTAGTGGTCTGTATTTCATTTCTGTGTGTTGGATGTGGTCTTCAAGATGAGCATGAACTCTCAAGATACACAGCTTCATCCTCAACATGTCCTGGAGCACCACCAACAGCTGCCCTCACATCTCATAGGGTTCATCATGTGTGCTCTGCTTCTCCTGTTCCCGGCATGCTCTGCTGGGGCCAGTTCTGGAACATGATTTTGCTTTTCAAAGAAGATGATGAACATCCAGGAACTTAAAGGATCGATTGCCTTTATTTGAAGAGTTCCTAGCTCTTGAAGTTATTTACATGAAGTTCAGTTTCTCAAGTAAAGTTTTTTTCAATCAGAATTGCCCAAGTGGTGCGACTTCTCTTGTTACATCCTTTAATAACTGATTCCTGTTTCCTCCTTTTCTTTTTCTGTTACTTGAATTTATTTCCTGTAATTTATGATGTATACCTGTCATTTGAAATATTTATAACTGTGAAATTGACTTAATTCATATGTGGTCTCATAAATTATATTGGTTTTTTTTTAAAGAGCATGTATTCAGGGAAATAGAGATCTTGGACTTACAATTCGGCTATGTGGAAACTGCGATTTAGATTTAATTTGCATCTTTAAGCATTTTTTTAAATTCTTAAAAATTTCCCTTTAGTTTGAAACGCCAAAGAAAACTAACCATCTCCTCTGAGCCTTTAGGAGCAGCCATCTTTCTACCCTGTGTACAGACAATAGAAAGAAGGTCAAGTTCATTTGATATTTTGTGTTTAAACTAATGCATCTAAACTCTGACTATTTCAGCATGAGGCACTGACCAGCTTTCAGCACTCAGTAGCGCCTTGTGCCCAGCAACTACTGTGCCCCTCACACAGATTTCCATTATCTGTGGAGGTGACGGGAGAGAGCTGCTTTTCCTCCTGGTTGGGACGTAGCTCTTGGTCTGTCAGGGTGCTAAGGAGAGAGGATGAAAGCGAAAAGCAAACCGTGGGCATACGCAGCCTTCCTGCACTTACACTTCACAACCTGGTTGCTCTCCCTTTTTTTAATTCTAAAACCGATGGCCACTCGGAACCCGACGCGCCTTCTGTTGACATTCCCGTAGACGTCAAACTTTGCAAACTTTACTGTTTAAAAAGTATTTGTCACATAATTTATTGAACTTTACACAAAGAAACCTTTCTAAATTGACTATTTTAAAATGCATTTTCCTGCTACCGTCATTACATTCAGAGTTTGCCACATTTGGGCAAATCCATGGCATAACGTAAGTTCGGAGTGGTGTTTTTCTGACTAAATATATGATCTGTGTGTTTTTAAAATCTTCTCAAAGGACTTAGGCTCTCTGTTGCTTATTCCCTATTTAAAATGAATATGATCTTTTCATGGTCATCCTAGATGGGGAAATAAGTGGAAGGTTTTCAATCTGAGATGGAAGATAATCTATTTTCCCCACACAGGAAAAAAAAACAAAAAGCTCAACTTTAGATTATTCAATCAGAAGGGCTGGAATTCTTTTTATTCCTGGCTACCCCTCCTCAGATAACTGTTAGACCATCATATGCTCTAAAAGTCAGATTTCATATGCAAGCCTAGATTTTGTATGGCACATATATATGTCGTCTTAATTTGAGACAGTTGAACATTTTTCTTAAAACAGATTATCTTTCATGATCACATAATACTTTGTTAAATTTATACATTAGAAACCTCGAGAGAAACCCTGTTCTTATTTTTTTTTTATCTAAACTGATAGTCTTAAAGAAAAATATTACTTTTCTAATTATAGCATGGTTTCATAGCGAATTGGAGGAAGATTCATGTCATCAGATTAAATTGATCGTAAATGTTTTTGCCCTGTACCCCCTGGATAGTGAGCTGTTTTAGATTTTCTGCTTCGCCTTTCTAACAGAAGTAGAGGACTCCAGCATACCTCAGTGCTTTTAGTCCACGAGTGCCAAAACTTCAGAGTTCCATAATTTGCAAGTCATTAAAACGTTTCATTTAGTAGAGCTGCTCGGTTGAAGGCTTTGTTGTCGTCTTAGTCGCTCCCTGCTTTACCCGCCTTGAGAGGACAATCCTGGAATGGCCTGTTTTCATCTTCCGTGGCAAAAAAGAAAAAAAAAACTACTTGTAGTTGTAAACTCAGCTTTTGGTTGGCCTTTCAACTTGTACCCTGGTGTAAACTCTTTTGTACACCACTTTCAACAGTTGGTAAAACTTTTAATGTTGACTTTTTGCTAAAGAGCTTTAATTTTTCCAAGAATCTAGATTAACGTAAAGATGCTGATATTTATGGAACTTGGGAGAGGTGTGGTGAAGCGGTATGAGTATTTTTAAAGATAAGATTAATTACTTTTTAGGAAACTAGTGAACAAATTTAATCTGTATTCTGACTTCTCTGGGTTTCCGTTAGTAGAGGATTCAATTCTGTTAGATTTGAGATATTTTGAAAGGAAAAATATTTCAAGTATATCTGAAATACTTCTTGGTCTCAAACCAGAAGATAGCGGACAATGTTTCTCTCTAGAAGGATGTGTGGAAATGACTCTGGGTACCAGCTCTCAAGCAGTGCACATGCAGATTCTCCCATAGGAAATCAGCTCGTTAAGAAGCTTTCTGGAGTGTTTTCTTTTTTCATCTCCTATCACATATAAAATGCAGCTTCACATCTAGACAAGACTAACGACGTCAGCTTCACATCTAGACAAGGCTAGCTTGGTGTCAACTTCACATCTAGGCAAAGCTAGCTTGGCCATACTCACTTCTGCTTGGTTTCTGAGCAGTGTCCTTCCCCTCTGTGTGGGAACTTGGATGGATCACTGTCAAGTCATTCATCTAGAACTGGGTCTTTTCAATTTATGATTTACCCAGTATCTAAAATTGTCTCTTTTTGAAGCTAAATTTCAAGCTTCCTTTTTCTCAAATATGTGACGAAAAAAAAAATAATAATAATAATAGTGTTATGTGAGAATTCTTTGAATTTATGTTTCCTAGCAACTGAAACTGCTGTCCAGTGTGTTACCTTTACGTTTAAATGCCTTTTCATGAATATGGGTAGATTTCTTTCTGGTTTTAGGTTGTCGGTATCCAGTTTACTCTTTTGTAGTGATCGTCTATAAAATTACTTTGGACACAGACCCAGTTAATTTTTCCTCATGGGATGATACGTTGTTCAACTAAGATCCATCCCTTCCCCCTCCAGAGGCATTTTCTTTAGCTCCAAGGTGAGCAGAGACAATGTCAGTCGAGGTTAAGATGGTGCATAGAGCTTGTTAATGACCTTTGAACTTTCTGTTTCAAATGTGCATCTTGAGTTTTATTCATCAGGAGAAAGGAAAATTAGATGCTACAATGTATTTAGGTGGTGTGACTTTTAAGACTATGTTGGATACATTAGGTATTTTTAAAATAAGTGTGAAGAAGCCAGCCCCTCTGTTTATTAAGCACCCAGGCCATTCTCAGTTGAAACTTTCGACCTGTTCAAGAACTGAAATTAGAAAGAATTATCGTAAAATATGTCTAGAAGTTTATTTTGCTTGGAACCAGAGGTTTATTTTCTACTATGAGTTACCTTACCAGAGTCATCTGTCAAGAATCATTTGTGGTAAAGATTTCTCTCTCGTTGAGAAGTCAGATATTCTTTCTGAATTAGGGTAAACAACTCACTTGTGAGCTGAACTTGGCGATCTGCCATTTTGTGGAGTCAGTATCCCATTCTTTGGGGGAACCTGAGCTGATCGCCCCTGCAGGTCTACACACAGCTTTGTCATCACACTTATACCTATGGGATAGGGTTCTGTATGTGATCATGATTCAGAGAAGCCTAATGGAAGGAATCAAGGTTGTCTGATAGGTGAGGGTGGGTCCTGAGTGTCACCTGCACTGTAGAGGATGAGATGGCTGCTCCAGATGACTCTAGGGTATGGTTGTGGTTAAACAGGATTCCAAACCAAAATAATAGAAATGGGGGAGGGGGAAGCCTACTAGCTTGTGCTTCTTAAAAGCTTATAGTTTCAGAATATTGTAAACACTGATTATGTTAACCCTCTTCAGTGTGGCGAGGAGTTCTGCATGGAGAAATGGAAGGCGGAATGTGAGGAGTGATTGTGGGAGAGCGGGCCTGCGGAAGGAGGGGCTTCCCCCTTTCTGATTATGGGTTCTGGAAGGTCATGCCTTTACCAGCATTCAATGTACACCAGAGATGTGTTCTTGCACATGTCTGTGAGCACGCACATTCATGTGTGTGTGTGTATGTGTGTGTGAGTGTTACTATAAACTGCTTGTAAATACTATAGTTGTTTAAGATGGAAAATAAAAGCTAAAGGATCTTTTGGCAAATATATTGCATCAAAATATACAGTATTGACCGTGGATAAAACACAGGAAATAAATTTTTTTTCATTTTGCCTTCTGTCCATTTTTGTCAAATTAAAGTAGAATACAGTGTATTAGTTTGGTGTGGCATGTTATTACAACACACACTTGGTTCTGAGGCAGTCATTTTAACCAGAAGCTTTGGCCTGCAAACAGGATTTGGCTTATAGTAGATAGAAGTGTGCACTCCACTGATAGAGATGTGCCCTCTGTCCTAAGAGACTCTCCTCCACAAGGTGACAGGTTACATCCTTTGAGTGCTGCATACCTACAGGATGTAAGTGTTCAGTTACACACTAAATTACAGTGCAGAAGAAAGAATGTCTGGATTCTGGTCCAAGCCAGACAAGTGCCAGCTTGTTTAGTGCCCTGGGGCTGTGCGCTCATCAGTGACCACACATCCTTTGAAAAGATGCAAACTGGTTTATGGTGAAAAGGAACGTGCTCTCTTGATTATGTCACCAACTAAGCTATTCCATCATCTTAACTATTGGTAAGAACTAGCAGGAGGCCGATTATTTACTTTCTGCAAGAAAGCCTCAAACAATTTACTACCTCTCTCACAGATCACAGTATTCTTGGTTAAAGGACAGTATTTGTAGTCATAGGAAATATGCTGAAGTGAAGTGTCTTCAGAGAAAGGAAGGGAGCCCCTGTGAAAGTGAGTTTCACTCATCTTGGAGTTAATTCAGGGAGCTTTTGGTAGGAAACTTGGATCCCATAAGACCTCTTTTTACAAATTTTTTGATTGATTGGTTTTTATTTTATGTGGATGTTTTACCTGCATGTATGTAAGTGCACCTTGTGGTGCAATGCCTGTGGAGGCTAGTAGAGGGTGTCAGATCCCCTGGAATTGGAATTAAAATTGTCAGCCGCCTTATGGGTGGGAACTGAATCCAGGTCCCCTGGAAGAACAGCCAGCGCTCTTAACCTCTGAACCGTCTCTCCAACCCTGTTCTCATTTTAAAATGCAGTTTACTTGGATTTTTTTTTTTTTGGTCTTTTTGAAACAGGGTCTCCCTGTAGCCCCAGCTGGCCTTGAACTCTTTATGTAGATCAAGCTGGCCTTGATGTCACAGAGATCTGTCTGACTCTGCCTCCTGAGTGCTGAGATTAAATGCATGCACCAGCTCTTACCATTTTTTATCTAAATGTTTGGGGAGACTCTAGCCTTGTGGGAGCATCTTTCTCTGAGCCATACGCTTGTAGGGACCACCTGAGGGCCACTTCCTTGTTCTGTCAGCACTTAACTATATATAATGCCTTCATATGTGCTTATGAAAGGCAACAAAACATAATCCTATTTCAGAGCTTGAAAAAGTGTGTACTTGAGTTGACACAAGAGGACTCTGGATTACTCAACGTCAAGTGGCTAGTGAAGGGTCTGTGTGGAACACTTTCCAGACATCATCAAGTTTAGGGGCCCATGAGCTAACTGTGCCAAAGGAAAATTCCCTTTTAGGTGTCCTTTTGTTTCTGAGGACATTGTATTAATACATAAATAACTGATCCAGATGAGAATACTCCAGATCTCTGGTCTCATCTTGAAGCCTGTTTTTAGTCAATATCCAGGATAGCACTAAATGACACTTGGCCTCAGATAGGTGACTAGTTGCCCTTTGACGTTTGGTGTCGTTCTCTAGTGCGGTGAGGGCTGGAAGAAGTGCTGGGCACAGGGAGTAGGCCTGCCATTCAGTCACGGCAATGCTCCAGCCAGTTCTTCAGCAGTCTGCGGATCCACCACGTTGCTTTAAGTTGTCACTTCAGATCCAGGGTCTAGGGCCACCTACCCGGGCCAGAGCTGGCCAGTTACTAAATGTGGGCTGTCTCTGGGAGGAGACTTTACTTCCAGAAGTTCACTTCCATTGGCTAGAGGGCACTTCCTATGCAGTCATGGAGAATAAGCAATTCTCTCACTGTGAGAATGGTGGCACACGGCATCCAGTCCATTGACATAGGTCAGAGAGTTCTACACAAGAGAATGTGTTCTGGGGGAACTGGCAAAGTATACTAGCCAAGGAACATCTAATACCTTTGCTCACCCAGCTCTGTGCAGGACGTGGGTTATGGACATGAAAGGATCTTGACTACAAGAGCTCACAACCATAAACCATGTATCAAGGGAAGAATTAAGACCAATCTCAATAAGGGGGCTGTGGCCAAAAAGACAAGGTGGACCTTCAGTGTAGTAAACCTGCAAGCTGGCTTAGGAGCCCACAGATCTCCTTTGTGAAACACCCAGATTTCTAGCTCTTTTGAGGAGCCCTGGAGGACTCTGGAGCACAGCACTGGTATTTAGGCCGGTCTGCAGGTTCCCATCCTTCACTGACAAGGACACACACATCCGTAGTGCTGCCCAGGACTAGAAATCTGTACATCAGAGGACCATCATGACAATCCATGTCAAGACAAGGGTGTTCGAGGGTGGCCTTGCCTTCAGTCCTAAAGGAAACAAGAGCCCTGGAATCCAGAAAGCTCCCAAATCTCAGCCAGTAAAGGCAAAGGGGAAACTGGCTCTGCTGTGTCCCTGACAGAACCTGCCACGAGATGGCAGCAGGAGCTCAGCCTGCACTGGAGAGACGCTGGGGTGTGCGCCTGTAGCTGCACAGTGGCTGCGTGTGCCTTTCACAGTACCCCAAGGACATAGCTCTTCAGAAGCAAGGTGAGGCATGAGAAATGAACCTGCAAAAGACCGAGTTTAAGTCACTCTGCCTATGGGTAGGCCCACCCTGACCACTCACCACTTACTCCTCAGCTCCTGCACCTACTTAGCACCTGCCCCTGTTGAAATTCTTTCCCTGGATTCTGAATGTTAGTGTGGGCCCTGCAATCATAAATCAAGATTGTCTATAAAACATCCCAGGTTGCCGGGCGTGGTGGCTCACGCCTTTAGTCCCAGCACTCGGGAGGCAGAGGCAAGTGGATCTCTGTGAGTTCGAGGCCAGCCTGGTCTACATAGTTTCAGGATAGCTGGGGCTACAGGGAGACCCTGTCTCCAAAAGACAAAAAAAAAAAAACCAACATCCCAGGTCTTGTAGAATCAGTTTTTTTTTTAATTATTTATTTAATAAACATAATTAGAAGAAACATTTCATTACAACAGCATTGACACATTCCATAACAATTTCCAGAGATAAGATACATCTCTTTCAAAATTGGCTGTAAATTTTTAGGTTTACAGTTGAATTAATAGAGTTATACAATATTGAACTCAGTATAAACCCTATAAGACAT